AATAGTAATAATACCATAATCCATTAAAAGATAATCTGGTACAAAAACTTAAGCGCTGATAAAGTTGTGGCATAATGCGTGCGATAAAGTTTAATTTTTTCTCGATATAACAGCAAAACTCGACACTTTCCTCAAATGAATAAAATATATATAGATGTGCACCAGACAATTGCCGATAATTCATATAGGGACGTAGCTATGCAAGGCATAGCGTTGTAACTTGTGCAATGTCCGGATGAAAGTATGGCTATGCTGATTGATTCGTATTTTGAAAGTGTCCAGCTTTTGCTGGTTTAGATTACTAAATAAAAAGTATCGGAGTAGTGCACGACACCTTTGAGTCGTGATACGTCTTAAAATGACAATGTTAGGCCTTAGCATCGACTTCCACGGCAACGTCTCCTACAGCTTTCTCAGCCTTCTTTTTCTTCTTTTTCGCAGATTTCGGATTTGCCGAAGAATACAAAAGTGTCTAAAATGTTCAATTAATAAATAAATGAATCATTGATAAATTTATCAACTGTAACAGTAAAAGAGCAGTTGTAAAGCTATTATATTTTTCTTAATTGAACGTTTTCTAGATACCTTCAATTCAGGATCATCCACAACACAGTCAGACTGATACATATCGAGGTCAAAAGGAATTCCCGTAATTTTGTGAGGTCCATTAGGCATCAAAAGTACGGTAAATTTGAATTGTGCCGCGTACTCGTTTGGTTTTTCATACAGCACCTACGTGAAAATGTGTAATGTTCGAAAATTTTATTATGCTTGCTACACTAGAACTAATAAATAAACACGTAGTGTAAATGATAGTCTTACTTGGAACGGCTCAATCAATCTATGATTTACACATTCAACAACAGCCATTTTTGCTTTTTTTTCATCTTCGAAGGTACGTAAATTGAAAGGCATGAGACCATGTTTGTGAGAGACTTCTGAATAAAACATGCGAGACGCCTTCAGTTTAAGCTGATATGTCTCCTCTGTCTTCTTGTATATCGTAACTCGAGTGTCCTGTTCCCTTCCTACTCCTTCACCTGTACTCACTAGTACATCCATTGCATAAACCTGAAATTAAATAAATATAATTAAACCTCTCTTTTATAATGCTCCTCTTTTTCTTATATCCCAAATTTGTATTGACTACTATTTTAATATTTTTATATCAATTTAAATATACCTCGTGAGTCTCGAGAGTATACTTTTCATGTTCCTTCTTTTGCGCATCATTTGGATTCTGAATTATTGTTTTCTCTCCATCGATCTTGAATTGTTTTAACTGGTGACTTAGCATACCTTCGATCGGTTTACATTTATAGGCGTCACATATTTTCTCCACAGTGCCTGTTATTGTATAAGTCTGAAATACATAATTAAATATTAAAATTTTATTTTTTACAACTTAAAAAAAAAAGAAAAAACGATAGCACACAAATATTCAATCTTACCTCTGTACCTGGTTTCAAAAGCCTTAATGCAGCTTGAGAAGCATAGTGCGCAGCTAAAACTACATCTGCTTTTTTGCCTGTGACTTTTTTCTCTAAAGATCCTATAACAATGGTATGTGCTACTACAGCTATAAAACCATCAACATGTGCTCCAAGATCACTGTAAATACACAATTTCATTAATTATATTAACTTTGTGAAGAATTAAATGTTAAAATTATTTGAATTGTTATGAATCATGGAAATACATGCTAATGTAAATCAGTTTCTGAGAAGAATTAACAATGTTATTCAATGTTTAAAACGTTAGAAAATAAAAATCATAGACGATTATAAACAATTACCATAGAGAGAAACTTACACTTTAACCATATCTTCATCTTTGAGAATCAGGTCAGGTTCACTAGCAATAGGAGAGAAATGGCAAATGCAATTGTTGACTGATATGCATGTTGGAAAAGCAATTCCCTTTTTAAGTTCTTTCTCTTTTTTGAAGACTTTACTAGTTTCCTCTGTAAGTATTTTGTCACCAAACTCACATATTTCTCTTACAGAAGCTCCAGCAACGCATTTGTTTAGAACTTGCTTTAATACACCTGAAAAATACATGGATATGTAGTAGGTACATTATACATAAGTACAGCTTAGTTACGAGTCAAAATAAATTGACTTTTTTGACATTGACTAAAAAACTTGAAAAAGTTAACTAATTAAACCAAAGAAATGAACAATCATGGTCTGCTTCAACTTGAAAAAAAAAGCAAGCTTATCTTAAACAAGCGAAATTATTTTAAAAAGTGTGCAAATTACAAGACTATACAAATGGTTGGAAACAAGAACGAGTTTGGAGCTAAGCTCCAAGATTAACTTGATCATGGATTAACTTATTGCTTCGTGAGGAAACAAGGAGAAAATAATTAACTTTATATTGTTAGATATATGGGAAAGGGGAGATTAGACTAGAGAGACGGCGAATTGGAAATGCTTTGCTTTTCTACGGATGATCGACTGGTGTCGAAGATTGAGTTAATTGTATTAATGCATTATGTTCGAGGTCGGCGAATAAAACGATGCAGGTTGGGGGCTCGCGCTGTCGCGAGCTGGCGCGAGCGGGCAATGCCGAGGATGTAAGATGGATCTAGCACATGGTCGGGCCCGGCTGCCCGGCATCGACGCGCCGCCAGCCCGCATTCCATATGGCCCGTATGGCCGAAATGGACCGAGATGGGCCGAGAGAAGACGCTCGCTCGCGACCGCGCGGACCCCCGCGCGAACACGCGCCGCCGTTTCCTTACGGTTCACGATCTCGCCGGCCATTTTATACTTGGTGACAACCAAGTCCTCGGCGATGGTCTTCTCGGTTTCTTCCTTGTCAGCCATGTCTTCGGTACAATATATATCAGCGATCACGTGATCCCAGCGACTTTCTCGCTGTGAGAACCTCTCGACGGTGCTCTCGATACGCGTATCAACTATCAACGCGTATACCCGATTACCCACGACTACCGACTCGTCACTCGTACGAACTGGTATGAACGACCGACACGACCAGACACGACGACGGGCGCCAAGTCGCCCAATGGCCCCAATGCGGCCAATGCCCAATCGGCCCAATCAGCCCAATGGTAAATGGTCGCCACAACGGATCACCACCTGCACTTGCACCCACTGCACCCACTGCACCCTGCACTAGCAGTACTAGCACCACGGCCACCACGGCAACGATAGCGACAGTAGCGATCACGAATAAGATCCTACACATATGACATAATAGGGGAGATAGGAATTTTAAGGAAAAGGGAATTTTTATCTCCTATTGTTTTGATTGGGCTTCAATTGAATTCTTGAATAATCACTTGAATATGATTAGTTTATACATTTAGTTTATACATTGCCTCGGTAGTCTAATGGCTCAGGACGCTCGTACGGTTTACAAGAGATCCGGGTTCAAGTCCCGGCCGAGGTAATATTTTTCGCAATAAATTTATTAATAGTTTTTAAAGATTAACATCTTTAAATATATGATGCTTGATGGTAGCATCAAATTATTAAATTGTTTGTCAATTTAATTCGCGATTACTAGAGTAGTTTTAATTGCGTTTATTTTAGTCCGGAAAAAATTCGGCGCGCAGTTTGAAAAAGACTACAATATGGTATATATGCAAGTACATATATAGTATATATTAGTAATTCAAAAAATTGAATTATTTAAAGCAACGAAGATCCAGCTCCAACCGTAATAGGCCGTTACACCCTAATATTAATTGAGTTTCTCAAATATACGGTCATAAATATATTGTTTATACATTTAGATCCAGTGAGGAACCAAGGGCAAGGCCAATCATCACTGGTAATGCTGGATTCACACTGCATCCGAATTGCGTTGTACAGCGCTCTGATGCAGTGTGAATCCAGCATAAGGCTTAAACACAATAGGCACAGGCAACAGAGAATTAACGAACCGTCCAATCAGAGCTCTGATGTGTAAGTTCGATAGTATATAGTATCCCGGAGCTCTGATTGGACAGCTCGTTATTTCCTGTTGCCTGTGCCTATTGTGTTTAAAGCGACGCTAAAGCCTCCTGTTTTACCCACATTTCCATTCGGTGAAAAATCTCCGAATTGGATTTACGGATTGCAAAAGTATATTACATAAATTAAAGTACACACAAACACCTCAGCTGTATTGGATTTCATGAGAAAATCGAAAAAAAGTTAAAAAATTCACTTACTTTTGGCTCGCACAGCTGTTATCTCAGATATATATTTGCTTGATATAAGAATTTTAGAGTCCATATCTTAAAAATAAACGTGCAGATGAGGTTACATTATTGGAACGAACGATACTGAATTTGTAGAACTAGGATTTAAAGTCTAGAAGAAAAGTATTTTCACCGAATGGAAAATATGTCTATACGGATGCTTTGCGAAAACTGGGTGAAATTCCGTGTAGCAGGGGGCCTATTCTTTATCTTCAAACAAGGTGAAAATGACAAAAGTGAGCAAATTTACGGGGTAATCCCGATTGACTACGGCTCGATTGGACACCACCAATCACAGCGACCGGTGCTTAGGAGCTTTATAGTCTCAAGCGCTGTGAGTGGCTCGTGTCCAATTGAGCCGTGTCTAACTGGGTGCCGCCCAAAATTTACTAGGTGTTGACTAATGAAATTATCAGTATTCTAGTAAATTCGCTCACTTTTATAATTTTCACCTCACTTCAAGATACAGAATCGATCCTCAGACCCCGCTTTAAGCGGGGAGCACAGATTCTTGCTTAACGCATGACACATGAGGCATAAGAAATTGAACCAACCAGAGTTCTCTATTACATGGAAGGGAAAGAAACGGAGAACTTCGATTGGTACATATTCTTATGCATTACGTGTTATGCGTTATGCAAGAGTCTGTGCTCCACGCTTTACTCCGTGTATTGTAGACGACGCCATATAGTACATATTCGATACATCGATTTCATTCATATTCGAGATATCGATCGAATGGCGATTTTCGCAGATTTTCGATGCGTTCAGCCGTCGGCGTCAGCGACCAGCGTTGTCGATAATAACCTCATGCAAGAATAGAAAGTAGATAGGACAGAATTATCCACAAGTTGTCAGGTTGTCACACGAGTGATTCGGCGATTGATTCCAATGTACTTGAGTATTTGTATCTTCGTAAAACAGACCGACGCGATTATTTGTCGAGTATCTGATCGCGCGCAATTTCGGGAAGATAAATGCGCTCGATAGGAGGGAGTGTCTGGTCCGTAAAGAGGCTTGAAAGAGATCTTGTAAGAGAGTTTAGCGTTTGCTAGCGCCGACACAAAACGAGGGAAGGAAGAAAAGAGGAAGAGAAATCGCGACTCCACGTCGCGGCCATTCGAAAAGAAAATGACCGTCATGGATTTCTTTGGTTGCGCCTGTCTGGCTTTCGGCCCGCCACTAGCCATGTTTATGTTCACCATCGCTGCCGAGCCCATCAGAATAATCATATTGATTGTCAGCGCTTTTTTCTGGCTGATATCTCTGCTGCTATCATCGGTACTTTGGTACGCTGTCGTTCCACTACAAGAACATCTCGCGTTTGGCCTGGTTTTTTCTGTACTGTTCCAGGAAGGTTTCAGGTAATCTAGTCTCCCTACTGCAATCTCATTTGACGTTACATTTATGTTAATCCACACGATAGTGTATAAACAAGTTTTTATCTCTTTACAGGTATCTCTTGTATTGGGTGCTGCGTAAAGCCGAAAAAGGCTTGGAAAAGGTCACGACGACACACGTGGCTGACAGCAGACACGTATTTGCTTATGTGTGTGGCTTAGGTTTTGGCTTCATGAGTGGTGCCTTTGCTTTAGTCAACGTCCTGGCTGATGCAGTGGGACCTGGTACCATGGGACTCCGTCAGGGTTCCGAATACTTCTTTATAATATCAGCTGCTACCACTCTGTGTTTCATTCTCCTGCACACGTTCTGGGGTGTCATCTTCTTCTTTGCCTTGGACAAGAAGAATTGGGGACAGATTATCTGGGTAGTTGGATCGCATCTGGTTGTCTCGTGTATGACATTGCTCAATCGTTATCAGGCGTATGCAGCCAGTTTATTATCTGCTTATATAGTACTGGTAATAACAACTACACTTGCGTTCAGGATCGTTGGTGGACGGACACAATCTTTAATTCTCTGTTTCCAAAGAAACTGAGAACTCTTACAAAGGTTACTTAATAAGACGTTTATAGTTTGCAAGTTCATCTCTGATGTGAATTTAATATCATAACGATAAACATCTTTTCCTTTTGGATGTCAATCTCTAACGCACATTCTACAATAAGTTGTTATTTAAGTTTCAAGTTTTGAGCCGTAAGAAATTGACCTGTCAAATGTCAAAAGAATAATCTACTATAATTGATCAGTTTCTTATGATTTGAGATTTGAAGCTTATGTAATGACTTTGTGTTGAAAGCCCATAAGAAAATCGTATTCGTTGCTCTATTACATTATATTATATTATGTAGAGAAAGGTTTAACGTGCAGGATACTTTTTTCCCATTCAGATTATTAAACAGGATATGCACCGAGTATGCAACATCATTAATTTTGTATGGCGAAATGTATTCGATAAACTCAACAATGTACGATATATCTATATGTTGGTCAAACCAATAGAGAGACAAATCCTATACGATTGCATGTTTTGAAATTGATATTTTTCAAAGCATCTCTGAGGATGTGAAAGTTCCAATTGTTTTCCTTATAAAAGGTTCTAGCACTAGATATTCTAATCGAGCTGCTAGTCCGTCCCTTAATCCATCGAAAAAATTATATGATTCAGAAACAAAATAATCTCTCAATAATCCAGTTTTGATTTAGATGATGTCCAAGTGTGTATTATTCCTTTATATCTTAAAGCTTTATATCCTAAAGCTCTTGATTTTTCATTGCAGCAATGTTGAATTGTGACGTCGGAAACAAGGAATCGTGAATTTTCTTCCTTGCATTATGTATTAAAATAAATTAACTTTTTTTTCATGTTATAATATAATGTATGATAATATAAATTTATTTTAAGTGAAAGATTCACTTTTCGGTTCATAATAAAAATAGCTACACATTCGTCTATCATATAAGATCTAGTTTTTCACCTTATAAGAGCTGCGCGCAATATCTATATGTTAAGTTGTATATGTAGAATAATAAAAGAAAGTTTTTTCGATATATTTTATATATCTCTCTCAGTCCGTATTATTATATATACCAAACGCAAAATAATGGCATAAGAGTAAACATTCATTTATTTCGTCGTATAGTACAGGAAAGGAAAAATGTAATTTTTTGACATTTTTTAACGTCATAATTTAATATGGCTACAAAAAAAAACGAGAAATTATAAAAAGGAAGAAAAAAATCTAAAATGTATGCGACCGGTGCGCTCATACGTGTGTATGTATATAAGTGCGTTTATAATGTATAATTATTGTATCAAATGAGATGTATATTTGTGCATCAATGTGCACCTTAAATATGGATTCCTTGAATAGGTTTAACAAAGAAAAAAATGAAGTTGAGAAATTGTCATTACTTTTTTGTATGTAAAAAGAAAAGGGAATCTATCGACGATTACACTTAAGGTAATTACTGTGACATATGTATCTCTTGGCATTCAATTAATTTAATTTTCACTTATCACACATCTCGCAATCGTTTATTATCCAGATCATATTGCATTTCGTATGACATTGAAATGAAAACAATTTTTGTAAAATACTAGTTGTATAAATGATTGTTATCGCTGTTTAGATGTAAAACTATATATACCACCGTTCCATATAATATAATATATAATAATAATAACTCCAGTTATGCAATTAGTTCACTATAAAGATAAATTTATAATGAATTATTTGTAATTCTTTTTTTACAAATTTTTTAAATACGCTAAAGTTTCGTATTTATATATTCCACATATTTGAATTATTCATCATTTCACCAATATGTACGATGACCATATTTTCTTAAAGAAGACAAAGGACAAATTAAAAAATTTTAGGATTTTGTTCCTACATGTTTTCAAACCCATTTGTGACTGTTTTTATAATAGAAGAATGCATTATAAAATTGTATTGCACAGTATAATCAAATTGAGATAGTGCGTAGTTTTCTGATAGTTTGAAACTGGTTCGACTGTATTGGAACAAACCCTTGATCTGAAATAATAAAAAATGAGAACAACTCTAGTTTAATAATTGAATAAATTTAATTTAAAAAATTAAGAAATATAATTAACAAAAACAAATCGTATTTATATGCATGAAACTGTGAAATATGGTTAATATTAGACATTGGAAGGCTAGTTAGAAAAAAATTTCCCGTAATGTCAAAATAAAGGACAATATTTTCAAAGTAAAGGATAATATTGAAAAATAAAGGACAAGATTGAATTTTGAAAAAACAAATCTAAAGAACTGTCCTTTACAATAAAGGACGTATGATCACCGTACCAATATGGTATCTTCAATAATGGACATAATTCAAAATTAAAATAATATATGCTAAATCACAATCAACTATAAATTTTAATACAAGTAAAAATCTGTAATAATTACAGAAAATAAGGAATGATTGTACAAAACTCCTTGTTTCCAGGTAAAATCCAAAAGCATATTATTAATAAACTGACTTGTATTTTTCTGGGAAATTGAACTATTTTAAAAAACAAAATTATCGGTTCTATTTTATAAAATTGCATTCCGAGCATCTATCGTGGAACAAGTCGGAATGGATTCCGATCGGAATTATTTCATCTTCCCTAGAAAACAATAGAAATCTAGGGAATAATTAAATAATTTCGATCGGAATTCATTTCGAATAATTCCATAATATATACTCTGCCGATACAGTTGAATTTTTATATATTTTTCTCAACGGGACAGAGGAGATTTCCTGTATTTTTTCAACTTAACCTTAAACTCAATTTTCTCTTTCCCATTATTTCACACCATTTATTATTCGATCACACGTGCACGAAATAAAAATGCGTCTTGCATATAATCAACTTGGAACAAAAAATTCATTTCGTTTTTTTGTTATTCTAAATTGATTGTGCGCGTGCAATAACAATTTCATTCTACACTGCTAAGCAAAGATTTAAAATATAGAAAAATATAGAGAATCTTTTCAGTCCCATAAACAAAAAAATATACGAAAGTTCGACAAGTAATTTGCAACACTTAAGAACTTGTTAAAGAAGCCATAAGTAGCTCCATTTTGTTGAGAAAATTCTTTCCTTCCATTTTGTCCCATCTAACTTCTTTGAAAGAACCTCCCAGATTCTCCCATTTCCTTTCTCGAACAAGTTGACCAGGAAAGAAATCCTTTCGGGGAGAATGTGCGATGGCAACTTGCACGCCCGTTTGCGGTTCACATCGTACAGCAATCATTCTACAAACATATTAAATGATGTATAAATAATAGACGCATATTCTTTCTTCTGTGTTATAAATTTGAACAATAAAATACCTATCGCCAATTGGCGAAGCTAGGATACAACTACTGGCGTTTCCCAGAGGCTCCACTGAACCTAGGCCGAGGTGCGAGCTGTTTGCTAAGAACTGCCAGCCCATACACTTGGCTAGAGCCTGTACCGCGCTTATTTGATGCTGATAAATCTGCATATAAGAAACAAATATTGTGATACCATTTTACCGATATAATAAAAGAGTTTTATATCTATCGAGTTTGACATTTGTTTATCACACGAGTTAACGTTTTTTTTTTTTACAAACGTTGATAAAAGAAAAATAGCTGACCTGACAAAAAATTAGATCCCTCAGTTCCTGAGGCTCGTAACTCATGTGCATGACTCTACCGTCGCGACACACGCATTTCAGTGACTTTTCACCGACGTGAACGACCATCGATGTCCGACATACGCTGTCATATCCATGTGTTAGGATATTTATTTTTACGCAGGACTGCGTCGGCGAATTCAACGCATTCCAATGTGAAACGATAAGCGGGTCTTTCACTTCTTTCGCTATCGTGTCTAATACGTATTCTGTACGCAAACGCATGAAAAAATGTTGTGCTTGTTGGATAATTTGTTCTAAAAGCGTCTGACTCTTTGTCATTTCTAAAAGCTCGTATCTGTCGGCGGCGGTAGGGCCGGCTACGTATCTGCGTTTACTAGGCCCAAGAGGTCCCGAAGCAGGATGAGGAAATGGATGATTACTATTATTGTAATGTACTTCGCGCAACAGTTGATGCAGAGAGTGCTCTAATACATGATCGTGATCGGTTTTGTGTGGTGGTGGAGCCGTAGGTTTTTTGTCGTTGCCTGTGCTATGGCACAGGCCAATTATTAACTGAATTCCTGGAAGTACCTGGTGTAAACATTAAAGAAAAAAATAAATTTTTCTTTATACAGGATGATCCAAATCACCCCATAGAGCCGGTATGTACGTACACTGTTTATGAAAAACTGAATCAAAAGTTCTCTACCATTTTGTAATTTTCGCAATTTTTTTTAGTTACTCAATAAGCAGAATGTCTAAAATCGATGCATAAGACAACTTTAGGATATCTTTAAGAGTTCTTTAAGGAATATCTTGAAGATATTTCATAAAGAACTTTGAAAGATATCTTAATGTTGTCTTATACATCAATTTTACACGGTTATTCCACAATTTTTAGAAATTAATATTTCGTTAATTGTTGCGACCATTACAAAATGGTAGAGGACTTTACGATTTAGTTTTCCATAAACAGTATGTACATGCCAACTCTTGTGGATGGTCTGACTCACACCGTATACATATTACAGTGAGTGTACATGTTTCAGTCTAAAGTAAAGAATAAAAACTATACAAAAAAACTCTTGATTTCCATTTGCAAGATACATACCGTGGCCATTATTTGATTTCCGACAACCATGTGAGGTATAGGCGCGCGTAAATGCACAGCCTCTCGCGCTAATTGACTAAACAGTTCCTTGCAAAACAGAACATTCTGTGCAGCCTCCAACTTTTGCTGCCAATGCATATCGGTATTTGAATTATTTGCACTGCTATTAAGTAAGCTTATGTTTGCACTGCACAAATCTTCTTGATCTAAACAAACGTACATTTACTCATTTATGTTTAATATGTACATATCTTTCTTTACCCATACGCACACACACGCGTGCGCGCAAATTGCTTTCTTTAATTTATATTACCTTTCTGGCATAATACTTCGATATATGCAACACCTTGTAACTCGCTAGGTATGGTTACCCGCAAGGCAGATGCTTTTGAATTTGAGGGTCCATGAGATTGTCCTGACATGCTGCTACCAGTATTAGGAGAGGCTGGTGGGCTATTACTACTTTTTTCTTCTTCTTCAGCTTTGGTAACTTCAAACATGCCCGTTTGTGTATACTTGGAGCCAGCTGATAAATAATATAAATATAGTATAATTTATAGCACCGACGAGATACTATTAAAGATCGACATCCTTACGGAAGTTCGCGTCCTTGTGAATATTGAAGTGATTAAGAGTTAAACACTGATAATATTGTACTAATTTTATGATTTATTAGTTTAGTAGATGTATTTATGCATTTATACTCAATAATACTCGTTTTTTCTTTAAAATTGAGATTTTAGAGTTATCATCAAAGTTTGATTATCAATAAAGATGCAGAGAAAAAATTGCGATTTTTTTGCAATATATAGGATATTACAGCTTTACAAGTATGTATATTTATTTATGGGACATTTATGTAATAAAAAATCATGAATTTAATAATGCATGAGCCAAATATTTATGTTAATAATAGCAAATTTATATCAATTGTCGGTAATGTCAGTGTTCTTGAATTACCTCCGGGCCCTTGGGGCCCTTTTTACACCGCCGAAAATTTGCCTAGGGTTGGCGGTCTTTAATAATATCTCGTCGGTGTTTATAGTAAACAGGAATATTAAAAGTACAAACAATAAGATATAAGACACACAAAGCACATTTTAAATAAATAAAAATATAATAAAACAAACCAGTTCGATAACTGAGATCGCCAATGATAGAGTTTGATACTTTCTTTAAACGCCAGTTTTGCCGTAATCTTAATAACTCGATATGAAAGTCAGGCGTAGATCTGGTTCTAGCTAATTCAGCCTGACAATTTCGCAGCCTCTCAGTACCCATCATAAGAACTGACGCTGCACCTGCCAATGCTTTTTTTCTAGCATATACTTGTATCATAGGTTTTACATCTGCTGATTCATGAGATGTTGGATCTAATACCATATAATTTCTTTCCTTTGCTATTGCAAGTACATCAGCCAATACACAAACTTCCGTCAAGGCATTTCTACAAAACCAATCAAATTTAATTTGTACTCTTTATTTGTATTTTTGTTTCTAATTATCAAAATTATTATTATAAGCTTAATACATTTATAATAATACATACATATGCATATAAGTATACATACATATATACATTATATAAACACAGTTTCTTAGACACACACAAGAAATCATGACAAACCTTAATTTGTTTCTAACACTATCCCACGGCCATAAGGAGGATTGAAACGAAGCAGGATCCTTCGTATCTTCTTCATTCTTCTCGTTACCCTCCAACTGTTCTTTCTTTACCTCCTCACCGTTCGTTTTACTAAAGTCAATCTTTTGAGCAATTTTTGCCAAGTTCTCGGATAAGGTAAGAGGTCTGCAGCATAATTAATAATATAAACTGATATGAAATCTTATCCCCTTTAAAAAACTAAGGTTAATTACAAGACGTAAGATAATATGTATTTAACATCAGACAATAATTCCATTAGTCGAGCATCTCACTATATTCTCTCTGTTGACAACAAAAGTTGTTTACGTACGCTTGGTAAATTTCTTGGCCATCGTAAGTAATTTCCTGTATTTGATTCTCAATCGGCGCTTCCACGGAAATGTTCACAGAATACGCCATTATTGTTTTCATACCACTTCACACATCCTGACACACATCCACAATCACTGTTGTGGAGCAGAACTGAGCAGAACCGTCAGCACTCACTGCTATTGGTGTATTCTTTTAGATCATCCAATAGCAGCGAGTGCTCATGCAACAGTTGATTTTGCTGAACGCGACCAATAGCAAATAGCATGGTATGTATGTATACATACATGCATGCAAGGAAATAGGAAGCGTTTATACTGGCCCGTAATACACCCGTAATATGCCATATGGTGTAATCTGTAAAGCCCAATGGCCGCGTTCAGCAGACTCAACTGTTGTGGAGCGGATCCGTAAGCGCTCGCTGCTATTGGATGATCTAGAAGAATACACCAATAGCAGCGAGCGCTCACGGATCCGCTCCACAACAGTTGAGTCTGCTGAATGCGACCATTGTCCACGATACTAGAAATCGGTCCGAGATCTCGGACAGAGAAAAAATTAACAAATCACATTGGAACAATTTGATCACATGACCATTGCGATTGGTCAATTGTTTCTTCATCCGAGGTCTCGGACCGATTTCTAGCATCGTGGACACAAGGCTTAAAAGTTGACGAATCACCTTCGAATATTTTCTTCTTACCGTCGAATAAGAGGGGAATACTTGACTGTGATTAGTCAATTCTTATAGATTACGGCCTACGGCATACGGTTACGGCCAATATAAAACGTTCCCTTTAAAAAATCTCTGCCCTCTCCGTCTTGCGTCTACAGACTGTGTTCATAGTGCAGAAAGCTACCAACTGTGAAACGCGGAAAATGGGGCGATATTCATAGGCCCGTATTCAGAACGCGCTTTTATCGATAAAAGCGCACTTTTGTCTCTCAGGTCAGGGTGCCGTCACATGCGGCGTAACCTGCGTAAGCGTAACCTGCGTATTCTAGTAATTTACTAGAATACGTTATTTTTTATTTACTAGAATACGCCATTCTGAAAGCCCGCATTCACATTGAGCGTATTTCGCGAAAGATTAGAGAAATGCGGAACTAATGCAACCAATTGCTGATTAAAATTTCTGTTGTACACTCTAACAGAAATGCTAAATAAATTTACGATTGGTTTTCGTAACCAACGCATCTCGAAAAGTACGCCTCATGGAAAACTGGTACCTTTCCATCGCGTATATATGGCTGCTTTCCATTTGATGACACAAATCGACACAAGTCGACACAAATGTCGTTCTTTCCTTCTTGATATTCAGAGAGTGACAAAGATAGAACGACACATGATAAAAATACAAGGGTATGCTCATCAATTGTCTAAAACTCGTTCAGCTTGCGCATGTCCTTGCCTACGTCATATTCGGGTACGCGTTGATTGGTCGGTTCTGATTCGGGTGCAATCGGTGGTTATCGGTCGTAATTTATCATGGCGTCCATGGCGTAGTGCACGTTGTCATCGGTAGAAGTTAATGTTAAAAATATTTTCACGATGACCTGCATAGTGAAAGGATGCGGCAATTATATGAAAAAAACAAAAAAAACTGAGGGAAGTAAAATTAAATATTTTATCTTTCCAAAACAATCTGAAATTGCTGAACAGTGGCGTAAGCCACTCGTTGTGACGTAAGCAAGGACAAAAATCTGATTGGTCATGCGCATGAGCATACCCTTGTCTTTTTATCATGGAACGACACTTGTGTCGATTTGTGTCGACTGTATCTCCTAAAAGGAAAGCAGCCTATGAGTGGATGATCGAATAAATTATTAAAATCGGAAAATTTTGTGAAACCACTCTTAGGGGTGGCACCCAGTTGGACACGGCTCAATTGAACACGAGCCATTCACAGCGCTTCAGACTACAAAGCTCCTAAGCACCGGTTGCTGTGATTGGTGGTGTCCAATCGAGACGTGGTCAATCGGGATCAATCCGTACGTTCCACATGAGTTTCGACTTTTCACTCGATGCAAAAGGGCGCAACTTCTATAATTGTACTGTTGCAAAATCGAAACCCTTGTGCATTTTTTCAGACAGAAGAAGCTAAAATGAGCCAGAAATTAGATTCGACGCATGGTGGTTCTATCCTGTTTCGGCGTAACAACAAAATAGCGTAAAAAGCATAAAGTGACTAAACAGAAACTGATGTTCAAGTGAAATGATATGATTGGTCGGCGCAAATTACGCTTACGCAAGTTATACCGCATATGACGGTCCCCTAAGACTGTTGGACCAATGAGCATCTAGCATAATGTCATCATATTGATTTATATAAGATGTTCATTGGTTTAGCGGCCTTATGTTATGCTTATGCTGTGTTATGCATTTCATTTGTGAAGTTCTTTACCCCGGATCTACAATAGGTGTTTTAAGACCTAAGCCGTAAGAAATTGACCAATTACAATCGAATCCGAGGGGAATAATCTACTGTGATTCGTCCATTTCAAATGGCTTAAGGCTTAAAACTCTATTGTAGATCCGGAGTTACCCCGGATCTACAATAGGGTTTTAAGCCTTAAGCCATAAGAAATGGGCGAATCCGGACTAAGTCCGTATCTACAATAGGTGTTTTATGCCTTATGCCGTAAGAAACTGACCAATTACAGTCGAATCCGAGAAGAATAAGCGACTGTGATTCGCCCATTTCTTACGGCTTAATGCTGGATTCACACTGCATCCAATTTGCGTCGTACGACACTCTTCAACCAATCAGAAAACAGAATTCCGATGATACGAAGCAAAATCAATCGGAATCCTGTTTTCTGATTGGTTGCAGAGCGTCGTACGACGTAAATCGGATGCAATGTGAATCCAGCATAAGGCTTAAAACACCTTTTGTAGATCCGGACTTAAGGGCCATTCCACACAACTTGCAGAGTCGCATAAACATATGCATAAAGAAAATCATCCAATCGTAGTTTACGTTTGTCTGTATGACAGAAATATGATTGGATAATTTTCTTTATGCATATAGTTATGCGGCTCTGCAAGTTGTGTGGAATGGCCCTTAGGGTGAAGTCCCATGAAGCGTATTTGCCGCGTATCGCGTAACCGCGTAACCAATCAATAATCAGTAAAACGCGAAATCACAATAGCGGATCGCTTCTGATTGGTTACGCGATACGCGTTACGCGGAAAATCTGTGCCATAGAACGGCACCCTTAGGCTGGAGTCCCATGAGGTGTATTTACCGCGTATCGCGTAACCGCGTAACCAATCAGAAGCGATCCGCTATTGTGATTTCGCGTTTTACTGATTATTGATTGGTTACGCGGTTACGCGATACGCGGCAAATACGCTTCATGGGACTCCAGCCTTAGGCCGTCATGTCCTCTGCTCTCTCAGGTTTCTCTCTGTTGGTACTGAATCTTTCTGTGTGCTAGAAAAGTACCAACTCCGCCATTGTTGTCTCTGACTGTTGTTGTTTCCAGCTTTATTGACAGTAATGGCAGTTTCCTCATTGACGTTTGAATTTTATAGCTTTCTTGTATTTCGAAAATGAACGTTTATTTGCGTGATTATCGCTGCCACCGTTCTTTTTCTCTCATTATCGCAACTGAAGTAATCCTACTAGCTGTTGATAATTCTGGAGTAATATCCTAACGATGCTCCGATGTAACCTCTTTGCTAAGACGACTGCCAACAAAACTGATGCAGAAAAAAGCTAATAATTAACGAAGGATTCGTGAGGAGGGACGATTGTACAAGTTTATCACTTTCTTTCTCATTGCCCAAATGGATACACAAACGGATATCAATTTACCGCGACCGCAAATGACGTTGCGAAACATGAATTCTGGCAATGTATTCTACATGCCTTTAACATCGTTTGCAGGTAAACAATCTCTCGAATACGCGTACATGATCTATGATTGTTCACAATTATATTTTATAAACGACTTGGATCAGACTCCTCTATTGATGCTTTTCAGCAAAAGACAAAATATAACGCGCACACACACACACACACGCGCGCGCGCGCACACACACACACACACACACACACACACACACACACAGTAATAATTTCATTTTTATTTAACATTAAATAAGAAGGGTAATGTAAAGGAATGATTCACTGTAGATGCTTTTTATTTAGTGACACAAATCAGCACAAACATCGTTCTATCTATTATTTAATAAATATATCGTCAAAAGGTGTTTCCGTCGACTGTGTGTCTCCTAAACGGAAAACGGCAGTACAAAGGCAATACAATACTTGTGTCGTCAAGTATTGGAAAGCATCCTTAATTAGCACAATTAATTCAATTGATAGACTCATCTGTGACAAAATTCTAATTATGTATAGCTCATAGTCCTTGATCTGTCTTTCTCTCTGTCAAATAATAAAGAATTAATCATTCCATTTGTAACCAAAAGACTCGCCGATTGACTTAGGTTCAAGTATTCAGTATGATATCAAAATCATCCTACTTAAGTTCTTTTTTGGTTCAATCAATCTCAATGTCTATTTTTCAGAGATGTGGTATCAAATATTTCTCTGGGCCCTGTTTTCCTCGATATTTGTACATACGATTGCTGGTGCAATTTGTTTTGCTACTTTGCGACAGCACAAATACGGCAAGTATGTAAATTATAGTCCATCTGTGAAACAGTCAATTCACAATGTTACATATATCCACAGATTTTTCCCATTGCTTATCATAATAATGGGTGTAATATTGCCACTGACATCGGGTGTCGTCAGTTCAGCAGCAGTTGCCTTTGTGTATAGAGCGTCTGGCTATCAAATGCCACCTTTATATGCATTGTTTTGGGGTATTGGACAGACTGTGGTACCGGTATGCGTCGGATTCACGCGAATATTGGCGACTTTGTAACCTGTTATTACAAACTTATTACTGCACTTGTGATGTATTTACGTGTACATAAGAGCAGCAGTCAAGTGTTTCTTTTAAATTATACGTATGTACATATATAGGTAAGTCCATCATTGTGAGCATCTATAGTTGTATTGATGCGTTTAGTAGTAAACTGACTGTAAAAGTGGAAAAGATTATAATATTATCAAGAAGATAAGGAATACTTTCTATTTGACACAATAATTGTTCTGTCTTTATTACTCATGAAATAGCAAGAAAGATAGAATGATGTTTGTGTCAACTTGTGTGTCAGTAAAAATATGTTTTCAGGAAGATGCTTTTAGCGCTATTCGAATCAGTTGATTCTTGTTTCATGTCTAATAAACGCTAGATAAAGATAAAGGATGCTTTCCATTCATGCTAATACAAATTGATATATTTTATCTTTCTCAACATTTATTAATTAGTAACAAGGACAACCATACTTATGTTGACTTGTATCATCAAAACACACAGAATGATAAATAGTGTCTTCCCGAATGCGCTCTAAATGGAAGATATCCAAATGGAAGATTACCCAATTGGGAGGATTCGTAATAACAAGCAAATATATATTTATCGAATATCGCAGAAAGCATCCTAATTATTGTATGTATATATATATATTATATATATGTATATATATATATATATATATATACACGTATATATATCAATAAAGTCAGTCTGATTTTTTTAATTGTTAACATATCCTTTCAGCTTTATTATAAAGTACAATATTAATCGGCATTATATAACAAATAATATGGTTCTAGACTATATTACATCATTTGTATTATACATCCGTTTGTATAATCCCTCTCAAGACCTGTCCATTTTTATATGTTGCTTGAAATTGTTTGCAATATTTTTGATATCCACCAATCCTTCCTCCAAAGACCTAAAGGCTTCCATTTTTGCGTTTTCATTAGAAGCACTTAGCAAATTAAGTACTAAATCTGAAAAGAAAAAAGTACTTTTTAAGTAACATTGCATTGGGTTCCAGTTGCTGTTGAAGGAAAGCGAGAACGGTTGTTACATGTCTGCCAGACATATGTAAGGCGTTTTGCGTAACAGCGGTGAAAAGCACGCTTGTAACTAGGTGCAATGTCAATGCAGGATCTTGCGTAGCATTCAGCTCCTCCAACAGAGCTTCTCTATGAGCATGTATCTGTGGTCGCTCCTTTTTTTTATCGTACTTCTTTAAAACTAAACAACAAGCTGCCATCGCTCTATCAGCATTGTTCAAAAAATCTTCCACTGAATCTCCCATTACGGTTTTATGTATAACGGTTAATGGCTCTTTAACATCTGCAGGTAATTCAAGCAACAGTCTTTGCCTTGTCTCTGTAGTGAGATTTTCCGCTACTTGCAGCATATTTTGTTGAGCAGCCAATTTGAATATACTTGTTACAAAATCAATACCTAGAGATTTAAGCAAGTATTTGGTCAGCGGAGCTTGATCCGCTTTGTCCAAATGTTTAATACCCTTGTCGAAAATTCGAATGTTTGTTATTAGAATGTTCAGACGTTTGCCAATCTCGCTTAAATTAGTAGTCTTGTTGGATTGCGCCAATTGTTCTGCCAATGTTAACGCAAACTTGTTCAATTTTGGTTGCAAATAGCACGCTAATTCGTCTACCATTTCTTCGATAACGGCTATGTTCTCATCTTTCATAACTTCCGTTTTCACTTCTTCCACGGTTATCACGATAATCTCACCTCTTCCGACCGTTGTCTGCCTCGTCTCGTCTTGGTCAGAATCATTTTCCTGCATCTTTCCTTGAAGATATTTTTTCTTTGTAGACTTGGTCTTGGTTTCTCTGCCTTGACTACCGCCGCCTGCTTTACCAATAGTTGCCTTTTTCCTTCGTTCTTCCTTTTTATTCACTTTGCTCTCAAGGATTAAATCCGCAGATTTGGGTTTTAATTTATTTTCAGCGATAGATTGGATCCATCTTCCGCTAGCTACTATGTCGCGAGTCTTTTGTTCCGTTACTGTTTCAAGGGATTTGGTTAAAGTTTGTAAAAATGCCTCAGAAACAATAACTGTCTTTGCAAATATATGTACATTGACCCTTATTTTCTTCGTAGCTAATTTGATGACAAGTTCAGCATCTTCGTCGCTAAATACAGATGGTAAAAGGGGATATAAGTCAATGAAGGATCCGGTCGCAATGACCTCTTCGATATTGGCATCGACTTGATCGGTTACTACTGTTCCTACAGCCACTGACTTTAAAAAGACCATGTTCTCATTTGGAAAATGGCGTTTTACAAAACCTGACGGGTCTGATATTCCGAGTCTTGTAAGGGCGTCATATTCTATAAGATAAAAATAGATTGAATCACGTGAGGCACAAAAATATTTTGGAAATTCCTGTAAATCACATATTTTACCTAAATATCCATTTTGCTTGTAAAAATTTTCAACCCACTCGTTTTGACTCTTAGAGTATATAGTAGGTATGTAAATGCTATTTCCACTCTGTTTCCCAGTTACAACTCCTGGTACTTGTTTTACTTCTTGCAAACTTTCCAGAATTGCTGCAATACATATAGTACACGTGTATATCCCAGGTAGCAAACTACGTCATTTTGACGTTAAATGACGTCTTTTTGACGTCATATTGACGTCAGCTTGCTACCAGGGTATATGTATATAAAGAAATTAATGTGACACTAAGTAATAGATCTGTAGATAAAAAGGTAAATTATACTATTTGACAAATAGTATAATTTACCTTTTTATATTTGACAAAATAATAGCTATTATCAGGCTATATTAAAAAAATTCTTTGTGAAATATAATATTCTGATATTGTTGAATGGAATTTAATAATATAGAAAGAAAATAGTAGTAACTTAAGTATGTATACATTAAAAACTGATTGCTCTTTCACGTCACTATTTTTGTACTTACAGAAAAATATTCTTTCTGGTACACCACATTGCCCGAGTATTGCGGATAATGGTGTAGGCTTTGTGATGGCTGACAGGGCGCCTTTAACTTTTGCTTTATTTCTAGCAATAAAGCTTTCGGTATAAAAAATTTTGGGATCTTGGGAGTCTTGTTTAGCATGTATTATCTTTCCGAGTTCCTTTTCGACGACTGATAGTAAAAAATCAGATGGTAGATTGTAAGTGAGCGTTAACTCTGCCACATTAATACAGCCGTGTTGTACAAGTTTATCGTTTATCTCTTCCGCAATTTTACTAATATAACTCTTATCTATAAGCTGTCCCAATATCACTTTCAGCCCTTTATTGTGCTTCTCGATCTCTGTTACTGTTTTAGTTATTTGCGACAGATTAACATTAAGAATTTGCGCCAAGTCGACTAAACTAATTTTTCCACCGTGAATATATAGCTCGTCTTTGATTTCCTTCCCAAGATGCTGAGGTGTAACATATTCTTTGCCATCATTGGTAAATATTATGTCCAGAAGCTTGTTTTCTACCAATGTTGTTATAATCTCTATACAATTTCGCTCAGAGAGTCTACAATATACATTTAATTATATTAGATCAGTGCAGAAGGTGGAAAATAATGTCTCATTGACATTATAATAAAATTAATTTCATTTCTTTCCTAATGCCTTTTAATTTTAATATCTACAGAGAGAAAAAAAATAATATGAAACATGATGTACAAAAAATTAATTCTCTTTTTTTTAAAACCATTAATAATTATAAAAATTATAAAAACAACTGTATCTTTAATAGATAAAATATAACAAAATTAATCTTGAAACTACATCTCTTTCATAATATTTTAACAGAAATCAATTTACATCAACATATTACTATTAATACCATATGTTTAAACTTGCCTAGAGGAGCTCTTACAAACTACTGTAATGAAAAAATACGTACAAAATATTTAGTATACAAGTCAGATAACAAGAATATAACGTTTATGATTCAAATAAAATTTATTCGCAGATTTCAAGTATCACATTATTCATAGTCGCTTTATCAAGAAAGTAAGATTAGGTTAACTAGATTGCGGAGTAAAGAGCGTCACTCACTTTTGCAAGGTCGAACTGAGCTGTGCCTTCTGAAAATCAGCTGCCAATCGCTTGACTTCTTCCCAGTCCACGCTAGACATTTTTCAATCGTTTCTCGTGCCGCTTTAAATTAACTCACATTTAAACCGCGGCGGAGAAACGCGATGCTTTCGTGCTGGCACGCTCCGATAAACGTTACAGCTGTCAAATACCATGTATTGCCACTATTGCTATTGCCAGTATTGCCATGTATCACTGCGCGCGGCGGGATCTGTTAGATCTATCCTCGGTAACTGCTCGGTACACTTTCTTGTCATTTTTGTTTTTGTTAATAATATTGAGGCATACATATGTACATACATACGTGTATATAGGAAATAGACAAGAAAAAGCGTCAATTAGAGATTAAGCGAGAGTTAACATAGAAATCTTTTTATAATCAAAGTCAAAATCTCCAAAGAAAACATATTTTAAATGAAAACATACGACACTATATCCTAAAATTGTTTTATTAGAAAATTTGAATTCTCGCGCAATTCATCAATTTATTTAATTTTAGAATAATAATCTAGTGGACGCAAAAATTGAATTGGATTTAATTTGTGACAGTCATGTCGTGCGTGTCACGCACGCACACACACGCGCGCGTGCGCGCGCGCAATATACACAGCCCAGCATCGTTTCCGGTGACGGGCGGAAGCGGGCTCGCCTGCTCTAACATTGCAGTCACGTGATCGTTGGATCGCTGTCAGACTAGTCGAATGACAGCGGAAACGTCAAAGCTCGCCAACGGATTGTAAACAAACTGGAGCAGCGTGTACGGAACACCGTAATCGCGCATCTCGCCGTACGGATCTCGTTTTCGCTTCTTTTATGTACACGCAAGCAATCAAAATGCCGGTTCAAAAGGATTCGAATATCGTGAAAATCGCCGTTCAGATGACGGATCAGGTACCGCAGCTCATCGAGTTCAATCAAAAGCAACCTTTGGCTGGAATTATTCAGGTACGTGTAATCTCTCGATTTTATTAACTATATTATGTACTACTAACTATAATCTCATCGTGACATACCTGTAATCGTGATTTGTGTACAAGTTGTGCACAGTGTGCATCTATAATATGTATATTACTCCAATTCTTAAATTTTTGTCTCTGAAACGAGGGAGGATCAGGAGCGCGAGAAATTATCTCTCTCCAGTTGTATTGTTATATTTCATATATGTATCTATATATATCCTGTATAAAAAGATTAGAAAAAATAACGGAATGCAATAATATTTTATATTAATAATTAATATTTTGTTTTAATTTTAGGAATTGTGCAATGGATGGGGTTTATCTGATGCTGAATCATACTCTTTACAATTTTCGGAAAGTAACAATCAAAATTACATTACGGAGAAGAATAGAAATGAGGTAAAGAATGGCAGTATTCTTAGATTGGAGTTTTCACCCTCGAAAACAGCGAGTGATATTTTGACCAAGCTTAATAATGGTACGGCAGAAGAGAAAGTGACAGCTTTGCAGAAACTGAGTACACTCAGTATAGACATGACCTTTGCGTTGGAATTTATAAACAAGAAAGGATTAGCATTAATTATTTCGCAGGTATTAAAATTTTGTATAATAAAATACAGGTATATTTTATACTTTTCTTAATCGTTTATACACTTGTTATATATAATTACTTTGTATCAGGTGGAAGGTGGAAAGTATAAAGGAAACACCCTTGCATATTCCCTTCAATCGTTTGTGGAATTGATGGATCATGGAATTGTATCATGGGATATATTGGAAACGCCCTTTATCAATAAAGTGGCTAGCTACGTGAATAACCAATCAGTAACACAGGACACTAGTATAGTGGAAGCTTCTCTAAGTATTTTAGAAAATATTGTTCTCAATTCAACAGGCAAATATGGACAAGTGGAAAAAGAAGTTACTTTTCCCAATCTTGTAATGCATTTGCAATGCATGAATCCACAAATTCAACAAAATGCGATAGCTTTAATAAACGCGCTGTTTCTCAAGGCTGATCTACACAAGAGGCGAGCAGTTTCTGCTACATTACAATCTAAACAAGTCAGGAATGTGTTCTTGACAAATGTCATACAATCCACTGGACAGGTATAAATACATGTTGTACATATATGCCTTACATATGTACCTTATGTATATATATATATATACATATTTGTGTATATATATATATATATATACATACTTGATATCTTCTTTATAATTAAAGAATAATTAAATAAATAGAATTGAAACAACCTTACTAGTTTCGACTAAGACGGTTAATAGATACGTAATGTATTTGATTGCGGAAACAAACAATTACTTTAAAACTTTATGTACGTTACCAAAAAAAAAGTATACATACTTGTTCTATACGTCAAATATTAAGCGAAAACAAACGTTTTCATTGGTGCATCTGTGAATAGTTTATTTCTAACCAATGAACATATTTTTATCTCTTCTGCTAAAAATATCCTACTTTTATAATATAGGTCGGAGCGGAAATGGCGCATCAACTCTATGTACTGCAGACGCTAATGCTAAGTCTTTTGGAACAACGAATGATGGCCAAGATGGATCCACAGGATCAAGACGCACATGATAAAATTAAGGAACTTCGAAGGATCGCTTTTGATACAGAAGGTGCGAATAGTGGAGATGTAGCTGCTCGCAAACAGGGACTTTTCGCCAAAGATTACAAGAAATTAGGCTTCAAGTACGACATCAATCCTGCTCTTGATTTTACCGAGACTCCACCGGGGATGCTTGCGTTGGACTGTATGGTGTACTTTGCGCGTAATCATACTGAAGCTTATACCAAGGTTGTTCTCGAAAATTCGTGCAGAGCGGACGAGCATGAGTGTCCCTTTGGCAGAACAAGTGTAGAACTTGTTAAATTGCTTTGCGAGGTGAGATACATCAATTTCAAAAACTCAAATTATGCGTGTCTAATAACGCACATGATATTTAAATTGGACGAATATTATTTTAATTAGATATTACGCATTGGCGAAGCACCCAGCGAACAGGGTCAGTCTTATCATCCAATGTTCTTTACACACGATCATCCATTTGAAGAATTTTACTGTGTCTGTATTGTATTGTTGAATAAAACGTGGAAGGAAATGAGAGCAACTACGGAAGATTTTGTCAAAGTCTTCTCCGTTGTACGCGAGCAGATTACTAGAGCGCTTCAATACAAGCCTACAGGACTGGATAAGTTTAAAAACAAGTTACAACAGTTGCCCTATTCGACAATCACTAACCTTTGGCAACAGGAAAGGACAAATAGGGAGGAATGGGAAAGTCACGCGAGGCCAATTGTTGAACTTCGAGAACAGATTACTCCTGAAATCTTGGAGCTAATTCAGCAGCAGCGATTAGGATTTTTGGTGCAGGGTACCAGATTCATGAAATACAGTGCCAGAGGACAAGTGTGTATATATATATATATATATATATATATATCTCTCTCTTTGGAATATGATATACGTACAGCTAATTGTAAGACTAATGAGAATCTCAATATTTTTAGCGAATTAAAGATAAATTTTGGTACGTCCGCTTATCGCCAAATCATAAAGTTTTTCATTATGGAGATTGCGACGAGAAATCGGTGCCAACGATCGACGAACTTCCTACGAAACTAGCAGTAGTCGAAATTCGAGGATTATTAACCGGCAGGGATTGTCCGCATATGAAAGACTTACAAAGGCGGAAAACTACTCATCAGTTGGCGTTTTCCTTAGCCTTGGACTCTGTTGAAGTGTCTAGTCTCGATTTCGTTGCTCCCGATGAACAGGTTTTCGACTATTGGACTGACGGCATTAGTGCTTTACTCGGTACGTCGGAAATCTTCTTTTTACATTTATAAGCAATACGCACGAGTATTTTACTTACTTTCCTTTCTTTCCTTCAGGAAATAGAATGACTAGCAAAGAAGCTGAAAATGATTTGGAAACTTTATTATCCATGGACATCAAGTTAAGACTTTTAGATGCCGAAGGGATCGATATTCCGCAAGATCCACCCGCGATTCCCGAACCACCGCCAAATTATGATTTTTGCTATGAGTTGAAGTAAAAATTGTGAGTGTCGTCCTTGTCTATGACTATAGATATAGTTTACATTAATTTTTTACAAGTCATTGATCTTTGTCCATAAATATCGATTTTTATATTTTTTCTCATCTTTTGCATATATTGTTACGATATATTGACATTTTTCTTTCTAGAATCGTAATTTGTTATGGCGCAGTTTAATGATATAAAAAAATAGCAGTATGTTTTACCAAAGAGACACTTAAAAATTCTATGTATGCAGTTTTTATATGTATTTTATAAGAAATTATTTATCTAGAGACGAGAATCGCATACAATGATACAAGTCAGACATCACCGTAATTACGTTGACGATTTTTAAAATAATAATTTAATCAACTTATAAAGCAGAGCTGGGATTTAGTTGCACATTTCGGCCGATTTTTAGCTTGAATCCTAAGCACGCGGGTTAGTGAAGTAAGGGATAACTAAATCCCAGATCTGTTGTAAAGCATATCTGATAATATACTTTACTGATCGTAATATACTTTATACAGTAAGATTTTTTATCTCTATTGTGCTATTAATATTTTATACCGATATCTCTATGTGCGAGTAAAGTAGTACAATACATTTAATAAACGACGAATATATTTAATAAATTGTGAAACTTAATTTTACAAGGTATTTATTGAAACATTAACTTATAGAAAATTCTTGACTACATCTTTGCAAGTTTGTGCCCTGGCAGCCAAATGTAGCGCGATGTAAAGTATAGAATAGAAATAGAGATATTTGACAATTTTTCATAAGTGATGATAATCTTTATGTGCAAATGTACACGTAACTTGAAAAAATAATGTATACCATTGTATACATAGATCGCGCTTGACGCTTTTCTGTGCGAGAGAGTGTACGAAATATCAGGTATAATATAATTCGAGTACATAATAAGGTTCACATGTCCCGTGAATCTTACATAACATCTTCCGAAAGAATATGATAATGCTGAAGATCGTTGGTTTGATGATCCGGCGGACAGAGGAAAAATTCAATGAAATTGAGCACGGGTCCTCGACTGAAAGGATTCAAGTATTTGCCCTTCTTGTCCCTCAAATACGAATACCTCTTATAATTGAACATTTCGTTGGTTGTCAAATTCATACATGCATGTAAGACCTATTGTAAAGAGAAATAATGATAGAAAATTAGATCGAAAGAAATGTAGCAATAATGTGAATATGTCGTATGTCTACCGAGGTGCACGTTAGAATCCACCCGAGCCCGCAAAAGACGAGAGCCTCCAGTACACCGAGAACATACAAGAGCTGTATTCCCTCAATTGCGATGCAATAACAGGCGAAATATAACGTGAAAGAGCAATTTATCGCCACGCACATAACGAATAGGAAGAACCACATTCTAAAAACAAACGGAAGAGAATGACAAGAGAATTTAATTAATGAAGCAGCTACGTACGCAATAATGTATTAATTTGTATCGATCATACCTGTTGCGTAGGCCAACGCAATTGTATATAAATGGACAGTGATGATCGAAATATGTAACACATCTGTTGCAAATTCTGCAGTGTTTAGCCCGGAGGGGTCTGAAACACCTGCAGCTGTGACATAATCGCGATAGTAAGACATTCCGTTTCTTCCATTTATCGAAGTACGGAATCTACGGAAAAATAACAACACAGAACATAACAATATAATAGTTAACAATTGTAATTTACAGTTTTATTATTGTGCCGTGTGCGTATGATGAACCTGTTTTATCGCCCTGTAGTAGGTGTCACTGTTTTGCGGCACGTAACCGGGGTCTCTTCTGTTAGCAACGATCCACGAGATCCACATGAGAATGTTCCAGTAAATGAAGCAATAATGACTGCCTCGCAAGAGATTCCACGTTAACGGAATGCACTTCAACAGGTACATCGGGTATCCCCATAGCAGGACGGATATCATGAACAACAATAACGGTCCCTTGCTGTTGCCCGCTCCGCCAAACAGTAGCGCCCTTGAAAGCAAACGCGCGGATTTTTCACATTTTATCAGATGGATATAACAAGAAATTCAGTCATTTCTTTATACTTTACTAGAAAAGAAAAGGGGTGAGCCGCCATGAGCACACCCGACGAATACCATAGCTCATTAATGGGCGGTATCCATCTGGCACGACGTTTCTGTTCTGCCTGCAGAATGCGCACGATCTCCGAGTGGCGATGACTCTTAGCCAGCTGCAACGGCGTCTTGCCATTTTTGTCACGCGGTTCAAGCTCAATTTTACTCTTTTCACAGAGGATCCGGACGCAACTGACGTTGCCGGACAGGCAGGCCAAATGGAGCGGTGTCGAACCGAAGTAGTCAGGTTTTTGCAGATCCACTCCGCTGTATATCAATAGCTTAATGAGCTCAGCGTGTCCTTTGTATGCAGCCCAATGTAACGCGGTGTCACCATTTATGTCGGTCAAATGTCCCTGCGCGCTGGATCCTAGCAAGAAGGCGGCCGTCGCGAATTTACCAAACATGCAGGCGGTCATCAGAGGCGTCAGGCCTTTAAAGTCGGCCGCATTAACCGCAACTCCCGCCTGTGTTTTTGAAGGGAAAAAGTGCACGGCGAATTATCAAGATATTTAGAAGATTCGAAATTCTTTGAGACTATAGATAAGAATACCTTTATACCTTCAATAATAATTGTACTATCGCACTATGGCCTTTCCGACAGGCCCAATGTATCGGCCTGGGTCCTTGGGTGCCAAGGCATGGTAGATCGACGGGTCCGCTCCGTTCTATCAAATATCTCATTACCTGTTGAAAACAGGTTGTAAGTTGTTTACAGTTGTATCTTTTAGTGCAAGAATTTTAATTTTACTAATAATCATTTTAAGAAATAAGGTATATTTAAGAAATAAGGTAATAATTTAGGTTTTTTAAAAATCAAAATTAATAAAAGTCTGTATCTGCTGGAAACTAACTTCAACGTTGCCATCCAAAGCAGCCCAATGGGCAGGTGTATATCCCCATTCGTCCCTCGCGCTAAGTACATTCAGCCCGTTTCTCTCAACCAGCTCCTCGACTGCTTCGATTTCACTACAATACGAACGAACCCTTTGCATTCTTCCCGCACATTACTCTTCCTGATCGTGATTTCAGTGCAAATTCTGTTCTCTTTCCAAGATCTCTCACCTGGCTCTGAGCAATTCAAAGATCTGTTTGGTCTCATCGGTGGGGCTTTGGCCAGTGGTAGCTTCGTCCGCATAGATATTGTCGTCAGGACGATTCCTCTGTCGCGTGTCTTTGCCGGAACCGTGATTCTGATGACCAGATATCGGATTGTTCGGTAGATGCCCGACCATGTCGGGATCTGGACTTAGTTCCCATACGGATCGTGCCGCGCCAGGCCCTGCCACAGGGCTCACAGGATACACCTGTAAGTAGGATGCGTATTATCGATGCAAGAAGAAACAACTAATTCCAATCCAAGTACTGCTGCCTGCCTAGTTAGCCCAGTTAGCCCAGTTTATAGCCTACTTGATACCAACGAGTAACGTACGTAACATCAATTTCACACTCAAAAATGTAACACTGTTATGTAACATCATCAAATGCGTTACATTAATTATACATCTTATTGAATGCGAAATATAATAACACCGATGCCACTTTTAATTGCAGTGTCGGAGCTATATAGCTGAAAATTAGAACAACTATATAAAATTAATAATTAGTTGTGATACTTAAGTTGTGCACTGCGCTTGCAATAATATCGCAAGCTGAATAGAGTACATATAGTTTTTCATTAATTCGCGTTTACCAATTTGATATATCCTTGTTTTCAATTCGTCTTTTACCTTGCACAGCGTCGCGAGTTCTGTATTTGTACGTTCGTGTTCGGAAGGCGTTCTGAAGGATGCGCTTTGTGTGCCGATCGTTCCTGCACCCTCCGGGACGGTTAGTCACAAGGAAACATTGGGCCCAACCATGTCTTCCAGGCCTCACTTGATGACACCGCAGCTTTTCCTCCAGACCTGAAACGGTTGAAACGCCCAGTACGTCGGACTCGGCTGGACTCGGCTGAGTCCTTCGAGTTCTAGGACGAGAATACGTAGAAATTTCTGAGAATGTCTCGACCTGTACCTACTGTTTTGCGCATTCGAATCAATAACGCGGCGACGCGACGCTTGCGTGCGAGTAACGTGCGAGAAATTGGGACGTCTTGACTTGTCAAGGATATCAATTAATACTTGTTGCGACAAATGGCCAAGAAAGCTTGATAATAAAAACAAGGATAGAAACAATTAATTAAAACAAGTTTGGTGAAGAATTATAATTCCCAACGTTTTTATTTATAATTAAAAAGCTCTCATTAAATTCCTACAGCCGTATGTATATTACTTATATTAATTTCACTTTGACTTTCATCTACGATTCGACATCAGCTTCGGATTCATTCGTAAATCTTAATTAATTCACTTCATTTTTGTGAACTGTAATTATAATATATTTATACTTTATACTACATATATAGAAACAAAATTTAAGAATTTTGAATTTCTCAATCCTGCACAAGCAGACCTTTAGATCGAATTATTATTTTATAAATTTTTCATTCTTAGATTACTTAATTGAAATTCTCTTAAATTTAAATTATTCACAGAAAACTTTTGTACATACACGTGTCATAAATCATTTTCAAACCTGATATCTTATATTGTTCTTCTTATTATAATATTTTGTACATACATAATTTATATTTTATTACAAGTTATATAACATTATCTATATTATAATTTTTAATGTAGTCAGAATTAAAATTGTATTTATCATGCGTGCGTGCGTGCGTGCGTGCGTATGTGTGTCGAGAGTGCCTTTCAATGGCTGCGTTCGGGAACGTCGCTCGGATGCCTCCGATGCCTCGGATTCATCATCTGTCCTTGTTTTACATTTAATGTTAAACAAGGATAGATGATGAATCCGAGGCATCGGAGACATCCGAGCGACATTTCCGAACGTAGCCAATGTATATCAAGTTTTAATTCAGACGACGCTGGGCGTCGACGATGTTGTTTTAAAAAATTTACGAAAAGCAGTGGAACCCTTAAAAAACCTCTTTAGGAAAGAAAATATATACGCCAAGTGCATGAAAAAGGTATATATCGAATATTGTATTGGGGGGGGGGGGGGGGAGGGTTATTTATTTTGTGAATAAAAAAATATATATATATATATATATATATATATATAATCTCATCACAGTATTTGCATTATGAATTAAAGACATAAAAAATAAATCATTAGAGACATTAACCAATCTTAAATCATTAAAGATATTAACCAATCACATGGCAGAAGAATAATCGATTATGATTGATTAATTTCTTATCTTTTATTTTAGAAATTAATCATAATCGTAATAGATTCCGATCGGAATTGTTCAATAGGACATGCAAATAGAGGGCGGGAATTTTTGAAACGTGGCTGGCCAATCAACGCGCGACTTTCTGATGTTATGACTCTTATCACCAACACCGATAAGATACTAATAATTAAAAGATGGTCGGCTCTTACTGAAGTTTATGTGATTGTCAAAATTTAAGTGATTAAATAAAAATTAGAAACTGATAACACAGTACTAATTACATGATTTATTAGTTTCTTAAACATGTATATATATATATATATATATGTTCAAAACTTTATAATAATACTCGTTTTATATTTAAAATTGTAATTTTAATGTTATCATCCAAGTTTGATTATCAAAAGTATAAGAAATGAATGAAAGATGTCGCCACGTACTATCGAATTTGGAATAATTTATCGGTAATACAGATGACTCCAGCATCCCCTTAAAGATGTCGTCACGTTGTCGCGCAGCAAATAACAATGATTCCTTCCTATCCGGCCCATCCCTTCCCAGTTCCCAGTTTCCTTCACAGCACTCTTTTCTTAACTGTTTCTAACCCCTTCAGCTAAGCATACTGTACTCGTAGTTCCACCTAACCCTTATTTGCCCTTATTCCCTAGTTGTAATTGGTTGTAATCAGCTGTAATCAATTGCGTAATATACGATGTGGTTATATAGCACTCGGTGCTTTTGGCCGTCGCATTTAAATTGTGTCACCAGTGTTGAATAGTGTTATTGATTGCTAGAGATTTGTTCAGGACGCTATAAAAAAAAGATGGCACCTACCATTCAAACCAACAGTAATCAAGCTGACCGGGATAAACGCGTGGCCAGGCCAGCAGAGAAGCGGTAAATAAGCACACCAGTGAATACAATGTATTCGCGACTGAATCATTACTATCACAAGGCAGTACAACTGTAGCGTTGCCATATATTATTGATCTGTGCTTTTTCAGATCTGAGCTCATATGCAGAGTAAAATATTGCAACACACTGCCGGATATACCGTTTGACCCAAAATTTATAGCTTATCCCTTTGAACCGACCAGGTGAGTAATGTTTGATCTGTCAAACTGTCGCTTACGTCCTTTTATCTTGTAATAATTTGTCATGTTTATAATACAGGTTTATTCAATATAATCCAACCTCATTAGAGCGTAATTACAAATATGAAGTATTGACAGAACATGATTTAGGTGTAGAAATTGATTTAATAAATAAGGATACGTATGCGGGGGATCCAAATGCTCAATTAGATCCAGCTGATGAAAAGCTATTGGAAGAAGATGTTCTCACACCTCAAGATTCTAAACGTTCTCGGCATCATGCCAGAAGTGTTTCATGGTTGAGACGCACAGAATATATTTCCACGGAAAGCACGAGATTCCAGCCACAAACAGCAGACAAGGTTGAAGCCAAAGTTGGTTACAGTATCAAGAAGAATTTCAAGGTATGATGTGTATTCAGCAAAATTTGTTGCGTATTTGTGTATTTGTGTATTTTCGAATTCAATTATTTTTAATCAGGAGGAAACGCTGTACATGGACCGTGAGAGTCAAATAAAAGCTATAGAAAAGACGTTTGAAGACAATAAAAAGCCAATTGAAAGACACTACAGTAAACCAAACGTAGTACCTATAGAAATATTGCCAGTATATCCAGACTTTAAGGTACTATTGCAACGTCTGTCAACAATATTGTCGTTACATACGTACAATTACAATTTTTACAATTTTTTAGTTGTGGAAATATCCATGTGCGCAAGTTATATTTGATTCTGATCCTGCACCAACTGGTCGATCTGTACCAGCACAGATAGAAGAAATGTCACAAGCCATGATAAGGTACAGTTTTGTTCATTCTCTCTCACACATACATGCACGCGCGCGCACACACGCGTACACACACACACACAGAGTAATTTTATGCAATTCAAAAGGAAATATGTACTGAAAAGAATTATTATTTGCCTTACTATCCAATTAATTTAGATATTATTAGATTGTGCAAGATAATCATAATGCTTTTTATAGAGGTGTGATGGACGAGAGTGGTGAGCAATTTGTAGCTTACTTTTTGCCGTTGGAAGAAACTTTGGAGAAACGCCGACGGGACTTTACTGCTGGTATCGATTACGCCGATGAGGAAGAATACGAGTACAAAATGGCTAGAGAATACAATTGGAACGTCAAGAGCAAAGCTTCCAAAGGATACGAGGAGAATTATTTCCTCGTGATAAGACAAGACGGGGTATATATAATATATGAGCACTGCACTCTATTACATAACGTGTTATAATTTTATGATTTGTCACATTAATCCATTTGTGTATCATAGGTTTACTACAATGAATTGGAGACACGTGTGCGACTAAGTAAACGGCGCCAGAAGGTCGGACAGCAGCCAAACAACACGCGCTTGATAGTGCGTCACCGACCGCTAAACGCCAATGAATTCAGAATGCAAAGATATCGAGAAAAACAATTGGAGCCGCCGGGAGAGGAGGATGAGGACGAGGAGGAGGAAGAGGAAGAGGAGGAGGAGGAGGAGACTCAACAAGAGAAGGCAGATATGGTAGTTAAAGGTTCGTTTACTCTATTCACTATGATATAATTGGAGAGGGTAGATTACCACTCTGAAAATTTTTCCGATAATCAGAAAATTTGTTTGCAGGTTCCGAAGCAGAGAACGAGGAAGGATCGACGCGTGCGTCGTCAAGAGCATCCTCGCAGGCGTCCAGTAGAAAATCGCGATCTCGTTCCAAGTCTGGCTCAAGATCGAAATCAAAATCGAGATCAAGATCTAGATCTAGATCAAAGTCGAGGTCGAGATCGCGATCGCGTTCGCGTTCGCGTTCGCTGTCGCAGTCACATTCACCATCGAAATCTAGATCGCCGTCTCGATCGCGCTCGCGTTCTCACTCACGTTCGCCATCTAAATCACGCAGTAAATCACGATCACGATCACGATCTGGCAGTCCTCAATCGAGAAACACATCAAAGTCGAGATCTAGATCCAAGTCGAGATCGCGCTCAAAATCACCTGCGAAATCACCATCGGGATCTTTGTCGACCTCATTGTCTGTGTCGCCGTCAAGATCGAGATCCGGGACTGGTAGTGGTTCCGCTAGCGCGACCGGCGAAAGTGGCTCCGAGAGCGAATGAATCTAAATGCACGATCAACAATACTAATGTAATTAGTTCATTTCCACTTGAATCATTATTTCAACGAATGTTCGTTTATACCATCGATATTTTTAAATATAGCAGTCCTGCCGAATATCAGAATAATTGCATACTGAAAGAATGAAAAGGAATTCTTTAATAATTATTATGATAAATAATCGTTACAGGGTGTTCAGTGGTACGATCAAAGAAATAAATTTATATTAGCCATATACATATATATTTTATGCACTGAGGTAGTTGCTATGATAATCCACAGACATAAAAAAAATATCCATCGTGTTTCGGAACAGATGTAGTAATTATATGATAGTTAATTTCGCGATATACTTTGATCGGAAAACGAAATAAGAAAAAATAAGACTTAAATTGTCCGAAGAATGTTCTAGTGCAATATTATCTATAAATCTGTTTTATAATTTTTATTTCCATTACCTTCCGTCGATATGCGTTCATTTTAATTTGAATGTAAACCAATTATGGCCGTGTCCAATGGGGTTCAACAGTATTTTTTTTTATTTTAAATAATTTATGCCATGTGTTTTTAAAAAAATATATAAAAAATTATGTCATCCATATTTAGTATTTTAATAACGAAATAAAAATTGTCGCGTTTGAATCGGACATTTTCGCGCGAAAATGTCGTATGACGTCATTATTAGCCATCGGTAGCTAACCAGTCCCATCGCCGCATCCGCTATATCATATTTGCTATTTACGTCGTGTTTAAACTTAAAACTGCTCTCAGCCGTACTGTTCGAATTTACAACACAAGATGTCAAATGAAAAAAGATACAGAAAGAAGCGTTATAAATCTTGTTTTTTCCTCGAGTGTGGAAATGCGATGATTAAGGGGATGCTGGAGTGTCCTGTTTTACCATTTAATTTTTGAAGACTCTTTTCTCTTAATTGTGTTTATGGATTGAAAAGTCCTTCTCCACAATTAAAGTATCGATAACAACACAGGCTGCCAGCTACAATTTAATACGAAAAATGAAAGAAAATTTAAAACTTACAGTTTTGTTATCGGCTTCTGTAGTCGACACGTCACAATATGTGCTGCATATAAGAGTTTCAGATTTTACCTGTTTAAAATAAGTAGCTAGCAGCCTACAGAAAACCTCGAAGAACAATACTATGCCTGTACAAATGAGCTGGGAGCTTTAGTATAAGAGGAAAGAGTCGCCAAAAATTTCGTTCGTATGCTACGAATAAAACTGACGTGGAGCACTATTTTAGTTCCTCGATATTGCGACAGCGGCGCTGTCATAAAATGTGCCTTGCTGGATCACAGAAACGATCAGAATTATCGATCTCAGGCCCGTAACAAGTTTCTTACGTGCCTTGCACAAAATATTTTCTCCTGAAAGAAAAAATAACAATAAAACAAATATATTAGTTATTTTAATTTTGTACAAATAATTTCTTCATAAACGAGAAACATACCATATTATTTACATATATGAATACAAATAAAGATTATTATTTTAATTGCACTGTTCTGTCTTTTACATACATTTTATTTAGTAAATTATATTGATGCATATATATATATATAATATATATGTATGCATATGTATAATATATATATATATATA